TCTCTAGAGCTGTCTACCAAAGGTGGGTGAGCTCCCTGATCCAGCCGTTCCTGAAGCTGAGCCGACAATTCCCTGGGTCCCTCGGCTGGGATCTGGCCCCAGATGTGGGACCCTCTCAAGGTTCCAGACAATGCCCAGACAGTGGCGCACAGCAGAGCAGGCCCGTGGACGTCTGGCCAGTGGACATCCCCGGGCTTGCGGGGCAGTAGGGTGACAGGCTGCTGCTCACCTCTCTCCTTCCTCTTCAGGCCTTGCCCCTGCCTTTGGCCCTTCAGGCCATCCCCCACCCTCCTGGCTCAGCTTCCAGGGGCACCCAGGCTTGGGGAAGGGGCAGGAGGGAGCCGGGCTCAGCTTTACTGAACTCTCTTCACAGAGAAGCCGGTTGTCCCGCCCAGGCCTGGGCCCACGCGTGCCAGGAAATAATCTCATTAAATGAGTCCGAGGTGATTCGGGCCGGGCCACCACGGGCAGCCCTGAGGCTGTGAGTTCCGTGGGCTGAGGTTGAGGTCCTGCGAGTTCAGCCTCAGCCGGTGGGGAGAGGAGGGTGAGGCCCACCGTCTGGTGCTCGCCTTTCCCACGCGCCCCCTGCTGGCCTCTGCCGGCTCTGCCCGCAGCTCCCCTCAGCCCCGCTCCCACTGCCCTGCTGCCTCTGCCCCCACGTGCCCTGCCGCCTCCAGCCCCACACCCATGTGCCCTCAGCCCTGCACCCACGTGCCCTGCCACCCCTGCCCGCGGGATCCAAGGCCCCCAGCGGGCTGCCCAGGCGATGACTCCTCAGGAGCACACCCAGGATCGGTGGCTTGCCCACTCCCTCCCTGTGCTCCCCGCCGCCCCCCCCCCCCCCCGCAAAGCACTGACACCCCAGGGTCCGCTCCAGAGACCTCAAGGTAAGATGCAGGGGTGAAGAGGGTGGGGTGACACAGGAGCATCCTCTGTGAGGATGACCCAAAAGGAGCCCCTCCCCCCTCCCCCCTCTTCTGCCTCCCCAGGCCTCTGTGGGACGGTTCTGGGCTCTGCGGACCCCACAGAGAACCACAGCAGGTGTGGCTCACGCCCTCCCACGCTGGCTGCCTCGGCTCCGTGAGCGTCGGTCATGCTCAGGCTGTGCTGACGGCCACGAGGCCGTGGGTCCCTTCCGCTGGCTTCAGCTGCCGGGACGGGGTCCCCCATCACCGTCGGCAAGGGCCCGGCTGTAGCACCGGGTCAGGGCGGGGTCTCAGGCGGACCGCGGTGTGGACGCCGCAGGGGCGAGTGCGTGCGGGGGTCCGGGCACGGGGCTCTGCTGCCACCTTGCACGCCTGTTCTTGCCCCCTCAGAGGCCACAGCCTCCCCGGGCCTCCAGTGTGCTTGTCAGGGGCACTGTGCTCTCGCCTGGAGTCCTCGCTCTGTGGTCGCAGGTGGGGGAGCTCCCGGGCCAGCCAGGCCTCTGGCCCCTGCGTGGGGGGCTCACGGAGCCCTTTTCTCAGCGAGGAGACGGGAGGCGAGAGAGGGCCCTCCGCCTTGTCTCACAGGGTTGGTGGGTCGCCTCCAGGCCTCGCTGGGCGGAGAGCCGGGGGCTCAGCTTCCTCCCCTACCTCCTTTGTGCCGACTCGGGCCGGCCTCGGAAGCCTCACTCCAGGGGGATGTGTCCAGTCAGTCGACACGTCCGCCCAGGGGGCCTGGCCCCCATCTTCTCAAAGGGAAGCCAGCGCTGGCATGAACAGCACGTCGCAGGCCTTCCACGCGAGAACCTTCTCAGGTGGCTTTTTGGCTTGGAGGAGGTGGGCACTGGGGGGTGGGGGATGATGCTGAGCTGGCCCCTCTCTCTCATGTTCTCTTTTCCTACCTTGACCGGCCAGCCCTTCACAGGTGGGGAGGAGGCCTTGGTTCAGGGACCTTCCCCTCAAATCCAGCTGGCTCCGAATCATCCAGGCAGAGCAGGGTCCTGTCTGGCTCCAGGAGAAAATTGCGTAGACCATCTTCAGACCCCCATCTGTAAATGATTGGGCTGATGAGGGGCACTCCCCCCCCCCCCCCCGCATCTGGCATCATCTTACCTGGGAAGACTTCACTGTAAAGACACAGCGCCCCCGTGGTCAAGGTGAGCCCTCCAAGGCATTGACAGACATTTGTTCCCGATTAAAAACTGGCAGAGAGGAGAGAAGGCAGAGGAGGGGAGAGGGGGCGAAGGAGGGGAGAGAGGGGAGAGGGGGCAGAGGAGGGGAGAGGGATCAGAGGGGAGAGGGGGCAGAGGAGGGGAGAG